ATATATATCATGTATGTATATATATATATCAGGTTTTGTTTATTCACCCAAGTATTGATGACACTTGGGTGGCTTCTACCTTCCTTTATACCTATTATAAATAATGTTGTTATGTACATGAGTATGCAAATATCTCTTCAAGGCCCTACTTTCAATTCTGAGTATGAACCAGGAAGTAGAATTGCTAGATTACATGATAATTCTACATTTAGTTTTCTGAGGAGTCCTTGTGATATGTCTATAATTGCCATCCCATTTCCCCTGCCCTCCAGCCACGCACAAGGTTCTAGTTTTCTCACATCCTTGCCAACACTGGTTATTCTCTGCTTTTTTGATAGCTGCCACCTTGAAGGGTGTGATATGGTCTCTAACTGGCGCATTTGCCTGGCTTTTAAGGCTCTCTGACCTCAAACCCTGTCACAGATCCGGCCTTAGCTCCCAGTGCTGCTCTGCCCAGGCCCTCCTCTACAAGCAGGTGTAAAAGTGAAAAGAATTTTTCTTTCCACCCTCTGAAGATTTTATAATTTGAGCCTAAAAAACAAACTGACGATAAATCGAGTAAGCAGAGAGAAGACACACAGATTTATTAACTTAGAAGTGTGTGGGAGTCACACAAAGCGTGACACCGTAAGATGGCCATCTGGTGGAAGCTTAAATACTTTCCCTCTGGGTGAAGGAGATTGGAACTGAGGGCAATTTTCCCAGAACAGCAAATGACGTTTAGAGGAGATTAATGGGGAAAGAAGAGGAGAGGATCGTTCGAGACCAAGTTTGCTGGGCTCTGAATGAAGCCTCAAGTTGCCTTTATTCCTGCCAGGGAACCTTCTGGAGGATCTGGCCTTTGGCTAGAATGGGGAACGTCAGAGAATGCCCCCTCTTGCACTTTGCAAGGGAAAGAGGGTGAGAGGTGGCAGAGGGGAGCAGAAGGCCAGAGAGAACTTAATTCCTCTGTAGCTCCGAGCGGTCAGCGCACCAACATCTCACAGGAATCCTTTCCTGAACCCCAACATGCTTTTCTCTCACAGCCCTTCGTCTGGACCATCTGTGTTGTTCCCTGTCCCGTTTTCCACTTTCTTCCATCTAAAACACCCTGTCATCTACCCGACATCTGCCAGTTTCTTCCAGTTTAGGTCAAGACCCATCTCTGATAAGCCTTTCCAAAGTCACTCACTCCCTCCCACCCTTGGCTTGAGGATCAGAGCGCGCCTCCCTGAGCTCCCCCTTGGGTCACAGGAGATTCCGAGCTGAAGGCAGTGAGACTCCATAGGTACAGCGAGAAGCCTTCACTGAAGGCTTCTGACTGAAAGAAGCAACGCTGAGGAATGAGGACTACCCTAAGTTTCCTCTCCTGGGAAAACCTTATGGCCACACGGAAGATTAACTCAGCACCATAAAGAGCAGCATAGACCCTGGCCTGTTTCTTCTCACATCTCCGCTATTTCTTGTTCTTTGTTTCAGATGGTGTAGAAGCTCTCAGGCCTATCAACTTCTTCGAGTCCTCTTTTCTAGAAAGGTTCCCAAGTCACACAAAAAAATAAGCATCAAATTAAATTTGTCAGCCTTTTCTTGTCAGTCTTTCAACCTAATTTGCTGAGCAACTAAAAGGTACAGGAAAAAAAAGGTTCCTCCCCTTCTCTTGATACTTATACCTCTCCAGGCTGGATTGTAAATTTCATTGTCAAACTAATAAGTAAACATGAATTTATATCTTCTGATGAATTAATGCCTTATAGATGTCTTTAGGATGTGGATTACATTACTGATTGCTACCAGAGGACAGAGAAGCAGGTCAGGGTGCATATTCCTATTATTATTATTATTATTATTATTATTATTATTATTGCTGTTGTTGTTCTTATTATCATTATGCCTAATCCCAGAACAAAAGAAAGAAGTTTAAAAGAGATATCTTCAGTGATTTCCAGTGGATGGTAATTTCAAATTGGTAAGAAGAATATGAAGTAACAGATGCGGAGTAAGAGGGAAAAAGAATGCCTGAAAGATTCTGAGATGAGAGAAAGACAGAGAGAGAGAGAGAAAGAGAGAGAGAGAGAGAGAGAGAGGGTCAGAGAGAGAGATAGAGAGAGAAGTTCAATAGAGACAGAAGGGAAAGAAAAGCCACCAGCATACTGGCTATACATTTTTCCACTTCTTCACAAATGAAGATGCTTTTCATTGGTTTATCTTTCCTTTTTCAAACCGCCCTAAGATTTTACCAATAGCATATAAAGCTATATTGGGTCGAGGGCAAAAAACAAAAACATGTGCCCTTATATACATTGATCAAAATATCTTCCCTTTATTTTGAGCTGAGTGACTTAACAAAAGATCTACAATTTACAAACATGACTTAGGAAACATGATTTTAAAAATATGATGTAAAATCCATGGCCCACGTAAGCCCATCCCTGTAGGCAACACGACACCGGCTCCCTGAAGTCCACAGACTCTTACAAAGCAACATAAGGGTACAAATCAAACAAACAAGTTTGTCTCTAATCAAAATTATGATGGTTTATTATTCATCACAATTTTTGCATTAATTTTGACTTCTAAAATATTCCGTTCCATTACCACCTACCATAATTACTGATGATTTTTTTTTTTGGCCTCCCATTGAATTTGGTGCTCCAGGCAAATTCCATACTTGTCTCACCATAACCCCAGCCTCCAGGTAATAATCTCTAAGTCCTGCCAGTCTCTGGCCACATGTGACTGTTTCATTTTGACTTTATTTCAAAACACCATAGGTCAGTTTTTTGATTAATCTGATAAGTTCACATATTTGTCAAATCAGGTATTGGAGTCAATAGTTCCTCTGTGGAATAATGTCTTTTAATAACTTTCAGTTATCTAAAGCAACAGGCTGCAAACTAGTCCCTTTCTGATGTTTAATTGGCAGTTTAATGGCTCATCTTATTAAATACTTACATGCCAGAAAATAGCCAATGAACTTAGCTAGACCTGAATGCTTCAGTTAAAGGCTTCAGTTTAGATTTAAAAGAAAGAAGGTAAGCTTCTTTAACAATTAAGTGAATCACCCACATAAGAAGCTGCATTCGTTACCTGGCAAATCAATAGCATAAATGTAGCCAAGTTGGTCTGCAGTTAGAAAAAGTTCCTCATTAGTCACTGGAGGGAAGAAAGGGACCATGTTATACATTCGATTGTGACCGATGGGTGCCAACTCCTCAGGCCAGGCATCTGCAGCAGGCTTGTATCTTTTCATCCACTCATCAAAGATGCCATCAGTGAAGGAGTGAAGGACCTGCAAGGCAGTTGAACATGATGTTTAAGGTTGATCCTTCTCTTCCAATCTACCAATCCAAATAAAGCTTTGTCTGCAATAAAACGGAGCTTCCTTGACATGAGGAGCTTCTATACGCCCACTCTAAGCTTGACGAGGTACACACTGGCATTTTTAAACAAGTTTCAAGGACATGTGCACACCTCTCTCCAAACAGTACTGTAAATTCTTTCATCAAATGAACAAATGAAAGTACATGTTACAGATTTAAGATTGGTTTGGAATACTTGAGGCCTTCAATACGTGGGTGCTAATTATTAGTATCAGGAAAAAGGCAAATATGGTAGAATACATATTCAGATGCCTTGTATTAGAGGGAAAGAGCAAATGGGGGCACTTACGTTAGCATAATATCAACATACAGTAAAAAGTAACAAAAAATCTCCAAAATTGACTTTCAGATACTTTTCATTAGGATCATCGTTCTCTCTAATCATTATAATCTTTCTCTCGAACTGTTGGAGCTTTTCCAGCACTAGAGAATCTAAAAATGTGTGATGCATATAATGCCCATTTTTTATTTTCTCAAAGAAGCTCTAAAGTCCCTTGCAAATATAGCAAATATTACATGTTTTAAAATATTAACAGCAAAATTTCCACAAGCATAGCCCTGACTTTGCAATAGGACATAAATGGGAGAGTTCAGCCCAACTTTGTAGCTGGCAGTTATAGTTCTTCTTTCAGTTCTAGACTGCAAGATCAGAGAGCTCAGGGAAACTGGCTTTTCTTGTTTCCTCCTATATCTCATAGATTCTCACCCCAACACCACTATAAAAGAAGTCCAATTACCCCAAGGCAGCCATGATGGGAGGAAGCCCAAACCAACCCACATAGAGAGACCACATGGAGAAGCCTTGAGATTTCAAGAAAAGACAAAAATGACTGGCCAGTCCATAGGTGTCCCAGTGCCTGTCACCCCCTGATGGCAGCTATACTGACAGACCCTGAGCCAGCACTGCCTAGTCAAGCGCTCCTGAATTTCTGATTCACAGAAATCAGGAAAATAAAATAATCATGTTGGGATGATTTCTAAGGCAGAAGTATGTGAGAAGTGCAAAGGAAAAAGGCCTAAATACAGCCTCGTGGGATCATGCTTACCCCAGCATGTGGACGGAAAGCAGCTTCTGATCCCAGAGGAGAGGAAAGAGGTGCGGGGTGTGGGGAAGGCAGGGGTGATACCTGAGGTGAAGACACAGTGCATGACACAAAGACCAAAGAGAGGACTGCAAATTCACATGGCAGTGGGCAGTGGGGAGGAGTGAAAATGTATAAAAACCCCTACCTCAAAGCCTCTCATGTAGGAAATGTGTAGTGAATAGCTGTTATCACTGTGACTATATCATCAGTACTGTTATTATTTTAACTTGGAACAAGGATTTAAGGAAAAATGAAGGAATTTATATTCTACAACCACTGTATATAGGGACTGCTGTACTTTGAACTCATCTACTCTATACCTGTAGCTAATGTAAAGCTGGACACACAGGAAAGCATGTAGCCAGCACTAAACATCGAATTATTAATGCTTGCTCTATGTAAGACATTATATTAAGCACTGATACATTCAGTCTTCAGATTTGCTAGCTACTATTTGCATTAGATGCTCAAGCTGCTGTAACAAAGCAGCATAGGCTGGGTGGCTTACCCATTAGACACATCCTGTCTCCCAGTTCTGAAGGTTAGAAGTCCAAGTCCAAGAGGTCAGTAGAGTGGGTTCCTTCCAAGTGCTACGAGGCAGAATCCATTCCACGCCCCTCACCTAGCTTCCTATGCTTTGCTGGCAATCTGTCATATTCTTTAGCTAGTAAATCACCATCTTATTTTCATGATGTTTGAAGGAGTCTGTAGCCAAATTTCTCCTTCTTAGAAGAACACCACTTGCTATGGTTTGAATGTCCTCTCCAAAACTCATGTTGAAATTTAATTGCCATTATAACAGTACGAAGTAAGACATTTAAGAGGTTACTGGATCTGAGGGATCTAATCTTATGAGTGGACTAGTGCCATTATTGTGGGAGTGGGTTATTCTTTCTGAAATAGTTTCTTGACAGAATAGATGACTTCTGCATGGTTTTCCTTTCTCTGCCTTGAGCACACTCACTTGCTGTCCTCCAGTCCCTCAACTGCTACCATGTTATGATAAAATATGAAGGCCTTCACAGGTGCTGGCGCCATACTCTTGGACTTCCTAGCCTTCAGAACTACAAGCTAATAGAAAGTATGGTTTCTAATTTACCTAGTTTGTAGATTTCTGTTAGAGCAGCAGAAAATAGACCAAGAATCCACTTATTGCATTAGAGACCTACCATACCCCCGTATTATCTCATCATAACAAATTATATCAGCAACTACTCTATTTCCAAACAAGGTCATAGTCTAAGGGATTAGGGATTAGCATTTCAACATACAAATGGGCAGGGGCACAATTCAACCCATGAAAATATTATCCTGTGCTATAGATGAGGAATCTAAGGTGCAGAAATTACCCAAGATCACACAGCTGGAATCTCATGAAGCAGGAATTTGAACCCAAGGAGTCTGGTTCTAAAATCAGAGTTCTTAAACCACACATTCGGCTTACTCTACCCAACCACACAGTATTGTCATTATTAACGCAATCCTCAGGACCTGCTAGAATAAGAGGAATAGTTTAAAGCTTATTCTTAGGTCTTAACAATGGGGGAAGTGTATGGAGCTTGACCTCTGAGTTCTAAGCCAATTGGAAACTTTTAGATACTGAGTTTAACTTCAGGTAAAATTGTGATTACAGAAAGAGACAAGAGCCCCTCAGGATACAAGGGAGATACTGTGTCAGTCCTGTGAAAGGAAAATAACTTCTGGAAAGTGCTAGAACTCAACCAGTCAAAGCAACAAATCATTAAAAAGGGGGATGAGAGTTTAAAAAATAGGAGAAATTGAATTCAGAATGTCAAAAGTTCTAAAGTCAAAGTTCTTAAGCAACATACTCTGGAGACTATAGTTATCAGAAAGACTGTAAAACATTATACAATAAATACTATAGTAAGTACCCAATTTATAGAATGTAATAAAAAATCCTGCACATGTTGAGAAGATGTGAAGAATACAATAAATAATATGATACATATCCACTGCTTAGAGAAGTAGTGCAACCTATACAATAGGTATTTTTGTTAAAGTTGTGGGCATTGTTCTCCTACAAGATATCTTGAATTGCTCCTGAGACACTGATTGTATCTTTGTTAGACAAAAATTGAAAATGAGCTTATTTAATATCTCTTTAAAGGTCAAATGTCATTTGACGGTAAGATACAGCAGCAGAAGTTATGTAAACGTATATTGCAGCTGCCTTTTATCCATTATAAAGATACATAGCTATGTTTTTTTATGAGACATTTAGTGTTTCAGAAATGATGTTCCGAACTTTTGTACATAGGCCTAGTCTATGTAGCTACACCAAAATAAGGATATGCAGAGGAAAGAGGAAAGTATTAAATTTCAACATTACTGAAATATTACCAAAATATTACCAAAAATGTGATTACATGGACTTTTGAGTTAAAAAAATTTCATGGAACCCTTACAGTAAGAAGAAAGCAATCAGCCAGCTTTATATGTTGTACTTGCAGGCATAAAGAAAGTAAAGTACAAGAATGCATATTTGTCTTTTTCAAGATCATTGAAGGATAAGGTTCCACTTGAAGGGCCAACAGAAATGGCTATAAATTCAAATTCCTGCCACACTGGAGAACTAAGAAGAATTTGTATACTTGAAGAAAAGAAGACGTGAAAATATGAGTCTGGCTTCGAAAATGTGTGTATATTACCAAGACCAGCACATTGCAGCTTTTATAGCCTGAGTTCATGTGTTGCATCTTGAAGGCATCATTCACCACCAGAATGAATCTTACTGTGGTAGGATGATACTGCTCTGCTCCTGAGCATCCGAAGTGAAAACTCAGATGTGATCACTTAAGGATCAGGTGTCAGCACAGAAACAGGTGTTTGTGGGACCTCCAATTTAAAACCCAATGTAGAAAGCATAAACAAAAACTTGGGTCAATCTTTCTAAATGAGATATTTCTAAAAAATATTTAATCTGTCTTATTTTATGGAAATATTTACTTATTCTTGCCGTTTTTTAGAAAGGATTTGAAGCAATGTACAATTAGGATGTCAGTCTCTCATTTCCCCATATAAGCCACCTATAACAAGCATGAAAACACTCAGACTTCTACTCAACTAGTTAAGCTCTATAACAGGAAGCATATATTATTGACATACAAGAAATAACCTATACACTGAATGCATGTGTCTTCCCCAAATTCATATGTAGAAATCCTAACCACCACCCCCCAGTGTGATGCTGTTAGAAAATTGAGCCTTTGGCAAGTGATAGATCACTCACAAGGGTGGCTTCCTTATGAAAGCATTATTGTCATCATAAAGAAAATCCAAGAAGTGCCTTCTTACTTCCAGACCCATGAGGACACAGAGAGAAACCTATGAACTAAGAAAATGGGGTCCTCACCGCACACTGAATATGTTGGTGCCCTTATCTTGGACCTCCCAGCCTCTGTGACTCTAAGAAATAAATATTTGTTGTTTAAGCCGCCAGTGTAGAGTACTTTTGTTATAGCAGCCCGAATGAACTAAGACATTTGAGTAATAACAGTGTCTTATAGGCAGTATTCAGCAAAGATGGTAGGTATTTCCCATTTTGCTATAATTTTCTTTCCCTATCCTTTCCTATTCCCTGTACAAACAATCCAAGAATTTTGGAGACTGAGGCAGGGGACCTGAGCAACTTAACAATCTAGCCATAGACTGTGTCAAAATAAAAATATATGCATATAAAAAAGGATGGCGATGTTGTCTTTAAAATTAAAAAAGAAATGTAAAAGAAAGACAAAAGGATGGGGATATAGCTCAGTGCTAAGGCCTGGGATTTCAGTCCTCGGTACTGGAAAGAAAAGTTTTCT